CAGCAGCAGCAACACCAACAAAGACAGCATCAACCACGTTGTAACACAGCAGTACGTGGCGACAAACGTCAAAACATCGTTGGCTTCTGGTTTCCTGGCGTAAAACGTTAATGTTCCCAAAGTTGGCGAACGTGTATATCATATAAGTACTGTATAACTATGTCAAACGTCGTTTTGGCGGATCCCTCCCTCCCACACGACACATCCATGTCCCAAGGCCACACAGAGGGGCCCGGACGGACCGCCGTCCACTCACGGCTGCACTCCTCCAGACCGCTGCATCCCTTGAAATCTCTCTCGTACAGCACTTGCGTGTTGCCTCCTTGAAGCAGGGCGACCTGTGTGTGCGTGACAACCCAAAACATTGTGGAGGGCAACGAACAAGAAAATGTAGGGTTATTATTTGACCGCAATTGACAAACTGAGTTTGTTTGTTGCCGCGCGCGCGGCGTGATGAGTAGGTTGTGAAGCACGTTGTGTTGTTGTCACGTCTTCATGGTGAACCAAAGCTTCTGACTGCTACTTTATCCAGTACCACCCCTCTTCTCCCGTCCCATGTGTCCAGCCGTTGAACCAAAAAAGGTTTCCTATAAGCTGGCACGTGTTTGTGCCTGTTTTGTGAATCCGGGCAGCAACAAAACAACACGACCAAAATCATTAGCTTGGGGCACAAACACAACAACGCGGCCAAAACCACTAGCTTGAAGCACGTACGTACCCCGCTGAAAGCTACCGCAACAAAGACGACATTCACTTCTTTCGCGCAGGTGTATCATACATGTGCCGTCCAACTACTACTATAAAATAACTGCAAACCCACCTGTGAGTGTGGGATCTCTCCCGTCTTGAGCGCGTCGATGGTGAGTGACTGCAACCCAACAACAACACGACAGCAGGACGGGACGCGACACGATAGGGGAGAAAAACCAAGGCACGACGAACACGGCACGGCAACAACAGAACAGGACGTACGTACGTCAGGCACGGGCGCGAGCTGCTGGTGGAGGTGTCGTGGTTCTAATTAGTATTGTGGGATACTTGAACAGTAATAGTGCTTGCTCTGGCTGTCGACAAATAACACACAGAACCGACATCCTGTTGTGCAACGAACACACGAAAAAAAAAAAATAACATATGAAAGCGAACACTATTAATAGTGGGCGATATCACCCTTGAACTTGCCATTTGGCATATCTGGATCTACTCGTATATTTAGAGGTGTGCACACGTGCGTACACCGATGTTGGTAAAAAAAGAAGAAACAAAAAATCCCGGCATTTCTCGGCGATAGCGATGGTTGAAAACTAGGAACGGGGCACGTGAGTCACCGCCTCCTCCCAACAGACACGGCAGAAGCAGCGGTGAGTCCTACAGCAAACAGCGGGAACAGTCAGAGGGCAAGCCCCAACTCATCGTTGATGGACTACTATGTAAGCGTGAGATCAGTACACACGCTTTCTCGTACGAAGTATATTTCAGTCCACAGCCACAAAAAACAGAATCCCCCGGGGCAGGTAGAACGAAGCGGGCCAAAATCTAACCGACACTTGCGGAAATTTGGTAAGGCTGAGGTTGCTGGAAACGGGGGTGGGTGAAACCATGTATGCACCCGTTGTCTGAAACGGCAAACAGCAAAACAAAAAAAAACATTGACACAAGTAAAGGGATTGAATTCACTGTCACT